CTCATTTAGGTTGAGTTCTTGCTCTATACAGGTTTGAACAGAGCATATCTTTGAGCAGAACTACCTTATTTTCACTGAAATTTCTGCAGTACAGAGTGTATGTTTCTTTGTAGATTCTGAGCCGTCTGATGGATGGAAGCAGATTCCAGGAATTCAAGGCTAATTATGGAACGACGTTAGTGACAGGATTTGGCCATGTGGAAGGGTAAGGCTGTAATGTTTCACTATCAACATTTATCTAAATAGCTTCTATTCATCATCAGGTTTTATGGTATTCCAGTAACAATGCTGATGAAGTTCTGAATCAGTCAAGAATTAGTAACAGAACGCTTCTTGGAAGCCTGATCTGTGTCTGAGCTCTGAATTCATCACGTCTCGGGCCAATAGCAGCAGAGTGTGATTACAAATAAATGGTTTTCATGACTTTATGAAATGATTTGTTTGTTCACAAAAATTACTAGCCAGACAGTAAGAATATTGAAATCTCCTTAAGAACGGAGACTTCTCCTTTTTTATTCCTTAAGAAATAAGAAACAGCATCTTTAAAAGTGTTCCTTCCCAAACTGAGCTGAAAGCTATCATCTCTTCTCCCACGTCATGGAGATGGGATAATACCCACACAATAAAACCTTGCATAATCCAGGTCAGACTGTATTATTAACACATTCATGAAGCATACAACATTCCAGTCAAATCATATTTAAAATTAAAAAAAAAAAAAAAAGGTAGTAAAATATATTTTTAGAGCCTCTTTAGGTTGAAAGTAGAAAGTTTTCAGATTGACTGTTAGGTTGTATGTTACAGGAGTTAGAGAGAGCCCAGAGTCCTGGCACTTTGTGCGTTGTCTTGCAGTATAAACTCTTGACAGGTCACCTATGGCTTCACCTGCTCTCTGGGTGTCAATTCCTGGTCATAGTTCCAGGCTTTACCTATCAGGAGTGCTGTGAGACTTCTTGTTCATTGGGTGTGAGGGTCCTGGAGTGAAGTGACGTGTGTAAGTGCATCCTTTCACACGCTGTGTTTCTGTAAAAGGGCAGATCTCTCTGTGTGTGTGTGTGTCTGTACAGATATTTATATTTCCATCCTTCAGAACGTTACGAGCTGCAGTTTTGTAATTCCTGGGTTTCAGAAATGAAAATGTTGATGTGTCTGTTTCGTAGGCACCTGGTGGGGGTGGTGGCCAGCAATGGGGAGCTGACTCAGGATGCTTCTCTCAAGGGCAGCCATTTCGTGCAGCTGTGCGGTCAGCGGAGCATCCCCATCCTCTTCTTCCAAAACACTGCTCCACATACAGCACAGCCAACAACCATCTCACAGGTATCATAGAATCATAGACTGGTTTGGGTTGGAAGGGACCTTAAAGCTCATCCAGTTCCAACCCCCCTGCCAGCAGCAGGGACACCTTCCACTAGACCAGGTTGCTCAAAGCCTCATCCAACCTGGCCAAGAACACTTCCAGGGAGGAGCAGCCACAGCTTCTCTGGCCAACCTGTTCCAGTGTCTCACCACCCTGGCGTTCTTAGGTCAAGATGCTTAATTCAAATCATGCCTAGTTCTTGTTCTATTTAAGATCACATTTTGAAAATATTTTTTTAAACCATTCTTGATGGTTTAAACCACGAAGCTTCATAATTACTTTGTTCTTAGATCTATTGGCACTCTCACTTTAATTTGAAGCAGGCCTCTCTGCTTATCTGAAATGGTACTGTCCAGCAAGCTGGAAAACTTTGAATTTATAGTACTTTTTTACATTGAAATGCAGCCCATTGATTCTTCTGATACCACTGAGCTCCACAGAAAAATAGCTGTTTCTCTTTTAGAGAAGTGAAGGTGTTAAAGTACAGTATGTTTTGTTCTGGGCTACAGAGAGCCACACAGTAAAACCTGCATCAGATCTCTGAGCAGAGACAGTTTCTGCAGCCCTGTTCCTCCCAGTTGTCACCAGCACTTAAGCCAAAGCCTGGTGTAATTCCTTTCTATCTGAGCTTTGCTCGTACCTGGGGGAGCTGGGGTTGCTCAGTATCGTAGGTTTTTGCACACTGGTTGTAATTGTTTTGCTGATTTACATTGTAAAATAAATGTATAATGGGCTATGACAGTCAATGATGCTGTCTCACTGTTGTGGAAGAAACCATCACACAGAATTGTCAAGAAATAAATGTTGTAGAAAGACAAGTTTAGTGGGAGTGGAGGGAATGGTGAAAAAAGACTGAAAGGATCTAAAAGTCTTTATTTTCATTTCAGGCAGAAGCTCACTCCAACAGATTAAAAGCCCAGGCCTCCATGATGGCTGCTGTTGCTTGTGCTGCTGTTCCCAAAATCACCGTTGTGATCGGTGGCTGCTACGGGAGTGAAAGTTACGCTATGGTACGGGGGGCATAAAGCTGGTGGCTTTGGTAACAGGCTCTTTATGTTATACCAAGGTTTCATTTTTAAAACACACTCAGTTGTTGTTACAGAAATTTAACTCGATCTGTTATTTTAATTACTTTTACAGTAAGCAATGCATCACAAGATGTGATGAGTGAAAATTTGGTCTGCATCTAAGAACCTGGAGCCAGTTCTAAAAAACCAGGTTATCTGAAAATGTCCCTGCTCAGGAGCCAGCCCTGTGTTTTTCTCAGCACATGCTCTTTGTTTTCAGTGATGGGGGAGCGCGTCTCCTTTATTTGTGCGGTTCACACTGCTGGAGAGAGTCCAGCACAGAGCCACCAAGATGATGGAGGGAGTGGAGCATCTCCCTGCTGAGGAAAGGCTGAGGGAGCTGGGGCTCTTTAGCTTGGAGAAGAGGAGACTGAGGGGTGACCTCATTAATGTTTATAAATATGTCAAGGGTGAATGTCAGGAGGATGGAGCCAGGCTCTTCTCAGTGATGCCCAATGGTAGGACAAGGGGCAGTGGGTGTGAGCTGGAACACAGGAGGTTCTGCTTCAACTTGAGAAGAAACTTCTTTCCAGTGAGGGTCCCAGAGCCCTGGGACAGGCTGCCCAGGGAGGGGGTGGAGTCTCCTTCTCTGGAGACATTCAAGACCCACCTGGACACCTTCCTGTGTGATCTCATTGAGGTTCCTGCTCTGGCAGGGGGGTTGGACTGGATGATCTTTCGAGGTCCCTTCCAATCCCCAACATTCTGTGATTCTGTGATTGTGAAGTGTGATAGGGCTCTTTGCTCAGAATGAAACATGGAAGTGCTTGGAGGAAAAATAAAATCATAAAATAGCCCCATGAAGGCAGTGGGGATTGTGGTGGTTGGTACCACAGGGTGTCTGTACTGATCCAGGAGCTGTCTCATGAATGCTTTACAAATTAAACTGTGTTACATTCTGCCTTGAACTTGATTGTGTCACCCTACAGCCATCCAGCTTTTAGTGACTGATTTCAATGCATTTGTACTGTCCTTTTTTTGTAGTGTGGGAGATCATTCAGTCCAAACTTCCTGTTCTTGTGGCCTAATGCAAGAGTTGCTCTTGTGGATTCAAGACATTTCTCCACAGTCCCACGAGCTGGGGACAGTGACTGTACAGGAGATGAAGCAGAGCTAAGACATCTGAAAGAAAAGTAAGGACATTAAATATAAACCCTTGCAGTTACAGTGGGATTTAATTAGTTAAATTACCTGCTTTTGTTCATTTTACAGGTCAACACATCCCAAACAAATAAAGCAAAGCTGAATCTACTGAAAAATATTGTAAATTTCTATGTAATTCCATGTCTGCTCTTAGGATTTGCTTAAGGAAACACAATGTTTGAATTAAAAAAAACAAACACAACAAAAACAACAAAACAAAACCAAAAAACACCCACCCCCCCAAAAAAAACCCCCCAAAACCCCACCCTGAAACTATACAACCCCAAATCAAGATATTCTGCTGCATGTTAAACACTGGGGATCATCTGGACGCTGAGGATGGTCTGTACTGCAGAATGACTGAAATGCAATGATGTTTTTGCTGGATTTAATTCATTTTAACAGCTGTACTGCACATTCACTCGAGCCTGAAGTATGTGCCTTTTTCATCTGTGATGTTGTTTTACTGGCCTGGCATTTTTTCGTTACATTTTTGTGCTTTCAGGCTTGTTTAATACTCTGTCTTTTCCAGGCTAGAGGAAGAAAGCAGCGCATTTTACTCCTCTGCCAGACTCTGGGATGATGGTATAATTCTACCTCAAAATACTAGAAAGGTAGGGTGTTTTTTTTCCTTATATGTTCTTTACAGGATATTTTATCCTCAGATCTCAAAAGGATCTTGTGGTGAATGCACAAACCTGTGACTCGCTCAAGGTCAGCGACGTGCTGATTCCTAGAACCAGGTCTCCCCGTTCCTACTCTGTTTCCTGTGACATTCAGCTTTGCAGTTCTCATCTTCTCCTCATTAGTCTATCCAAAAAGTTCCTGTTGAGTTCTGGTTACTTGACTACAGCATTTCCTCACTGAACCTCTTAACTGACTTTACCATTTGATTCTGTATCCAAATCCTTTCTTTCTCAGCCTTGCATAATCACCCATATCTTCACTCTTTTTGAGTTCAGGCTCTTCACATTGTTCCATTCTTTTGTCCTAGGATGTTTCTTCTTGATAATTTCTCTTCATTATTTTAATTTACTGCTCACATTTGGAATACCCCCCTCCCACTTTTTATTTATAAGTTGGTAAACACCCACTCCCTAGATTCCTTCTGAAAGCTGCTGCCTTTGTTCTTCTGTTTTTCCTTGTTATATTGTTTATTAGCAGTGCTTAAAATGTTCTTTGCACTTCTGAAGCTTCTTTAAAGATCACAAACACAGCCTGCTACCAATTAATCCTCTAAATATGGTACATATCTATGGCATGACGTAGATGTTAAATATTTTCTGGGAGGTTTATGGGAACTTTGATAATGGGAGAGCACCGTGGTGTATTTTCTAGTACTAGAGCCCAGAGACTACCTGTCTGTAGGAACTACACATGAAAAGAAAATATGTGACAGTTGAAATAAATCTTTGTTACTCTCAGGTAATTCTCACCAGCACACCACTATTCATCTTTGCATGTTTAGCTGGTTTTTACCATATTGTTTTGCTACTTTATTATCCCAGTTCTTGCTAACAGATGGAATTGATGTTTACCTGTGTCTGAACTGACAGTCTGTGCTCATTCTGATCCTTCATGTGCTTTTTTTAAAAAATAGACTTTTAAAAGACAGTGTTTGCTCCAGTAGCAGTGGAATCTGCACAGTGACATTAGAAAAATGCTTTGAAGTTAGAAAAATGCTGATCATGACTTTTGATTTCCAACCAGCTACACAAAAGGTTTTGGCAGAGGAGACTACTGCACGATAAAAATTAACAGAATCTTAATGGAGAATTACCCTGTTTTTAAAGACCAAAACCAGTTCTGTATTTCTGACATCAAGCAAGATGACTTCTTAGGAAGAGATGGATGTGGAAGAGCAGGATGTCCTGATAATTTTTGATCTGTGATTGAGAATCTTGGGTGAATAGCTACATGATAACAGAAATGGATGATCATGGAATACATTTTCATTGGGGTTATACAGCAAAAATAGCTTCCCAGCGTTCCAAAAGTAATTCTCTTGTCACCACAGTGACTTTGAAATGGTTTAGTGGTCTCTGTGTGCAGCACATAGACTTTGGGATCCTGAGGACATCTGTTCCTGTACATTCTCCTGCCCCAGGGGTACATCTCACTGGCATCTGTTTCCCCAAACTGTACATTTTATATGTTCATAGTTTTGCAGAAAATAAGAGCAAATACATTCCTGAATGAGTGTGTAACTGAGTTTTACTGATTTCTTTTGTTTCAGAGGCTCATTGCTTTGTTGTTGTTGTTGTTTTAATTAGGTAATTGCACAGTGCTTAGAGATTATAGAACAGCAGAAGTACCAGCTCATATCTCCCTGTCGATATCCCGTCATCAGAATGTGACTGCAGCCGCTTTCAAAGAATCAGCCCTTTAAAGTGAGCACCGTGTACTAGAAATCTTTAATGTCAATGATTTTCTAACTCTTTGATACCATTAATAAAAACATTAAACCCAACAAGAACCCTGGATTTTAAGTCAGTTTGTACTTTGAACTGTAACCTCTCACACCATTAGTTGAAAAGGAAGGATCAAGCTGAGCATCTAGAGCACTCTAAGGAAACAAATTCATCCCAGGCCGTAACAGTTACTTGATTTTTTTCATATTCATGTTTTAGTATGAAATCCAGAACTCAAGAAACTGCACTTTGACAAAAGAAATTGGAAAGAGAAAACACAGAAGCTGGTGTGTGCAGTTTTCAGCCTTAGTAAAGGGCAAAGTGGTGCTGCCCCACGGCCTCGGGCCTGCCAGGTCAGATCTCCAGAGCAGTTGTGGAAAATCACTGCTTGGATTGCTCAGAGGATGTTACAGGAGTGCCCAGGAGGGGATTGAAATCCAAAGTACTTCAGTACAGGCTCAAAATTACCTCTTCTCAAGGCATATAACAAAAAAAAAAAGCACAGAAACTGTTCTACATAACTTTACTGCGTGCACAGATACTGAGTTTACACTCTGCTGGTTCCTGCATCTTTCCCTCTGCCACAGCTGCAAAGTTTAATTGTGGAAAAACAAAAACCTCCCCACCCCAAACTCGTGTTGTTTTTCACTGTATCATTCCTAGCCCTGTCCATCTGGAAATGATGCCAAAGGGTGGATTTGAAAAAACACCTCCTTAAGTATTTTGAAGCATCATCAACAAAACTGAGATGCTCAATCTTAATGAAGTAGCCATAACAAATAAAAAGTGATGTTGAAGGAATTTGGGTCATTTCAGTGCTTGTAAACAGAGATTGCACCCTTTTTTGGAGCTGGAAGAAACCTAAGGTGACATGTCACCGGTCACGCTCTCTTGAAGAGTCCATGGAATGTCACGGGAATGTTCACCTCCACTTCAGCCCTGGCCACCTCGCTCATGTCTTTGGCGTTGAGGACCAGGAGGTAGGCGGGCTTCGGCCCCGCGCCCGGGCTGATCACGATGCTCAGCACCACCCCTAGCAGGAGAGAAAAACAAGGTGTGTTTGCTGTGCCCTGTCCTTGGGCACCTCACACCCAGGACACCGGTCACTCCCCTTATCAGTGTATAATTAGCAGCTCTGAAGAGGACTGAAATTATTTAATTCTTCCTCATATTATTTTGGGTTGTGGTTGTCATCATCTTGCCAGCCTGGGGTGTGGCTCCTACAGGGTTTCTTTTTAAAACTCTGAAAAATGTTTTTATCCTGAAAAGGAACTATGAAAAGTGATTGCAGGAGCTGACAACAACCATCACGTACTGGAATGGATGTATATTGGGCAGACGAGGTGCTCAGGGACATGGGTTAGAGGTGGGATTGGCAGTGTTGGGTTTATGGTTGGACTCAGTGATCTTAAAGGTCTTTTCCAACCACCACAAGTCTATGATTGTATGATTCTATAATTTTGTCCATTGATTTTTTCAACATTATGAATTACTTTATTAATTATAATTCTTCTTCTGAGGTTTAACGTGACAAGATACCCACCTGGAATTCTTTAAATATTGCTATTCCTGATGGAAAAAGGGCAGGAAACAAGGACAACAGCCCTGGGACAGGCTGCCCAGAGAGGGTGTGGAGTCTCCATCTCTGGAGATGTTCAAACCCACCTGGACACTTTCCTGTGCAACCTGGTGTACTCTGGCAGGGGGGTTGGACTGGATGATCTCCTGAGGTCCCTTCCAACCCCACTATCCTGTGATCCTGTCATCACGTAAACCCAGAGGTCTTCCTCCTCTGTTTTAATTCACTCTTAATTTTCCCATATTCTCCTCAGCAGCTTCCCACCAGTGTCAGAACAGGCACATCTCAGCTGGGAGCTGCCCACCTCTGGCCCAGCCTTGCAGACAGGCCCCACACCAGCAGACACGAGCTTCTCAAATCAGGATGCAACTGACCACAATAAAATCAGTATTACCATCATCTTCCTCCAGAGCATCCGGGTGGGAAACGAAGATGGGCTCTGATGGGTACGAATCCTGCTCCTGCCACACCCAGGTCTCCTTCGTTTTAACATTCAGCTTGCAAAGCTAAAGGTGGAGAAAGAGAAAACAACCCCAAACCCCCACATCTCAGAAATACTCTTGTCCTGAAATGGAAAGCTCAGGGAGAAGATGTGCCTCACCCGTTGGCTGATAGTTACCCTGTCTGGGACAAAGTGATTCAGCCCCAGCCCGTACGTGTACGTGTACGGTTTCCCACCATGTTTCTTGTAATTGATCTGTGGAAATTCAAAAGCTACAATAAAAAAATAAGTACACATGAGGATTAGTGGGATGCAGAGTGCAGGGGGTGCTCATGTTGTTACTGGTTGTGCTTTGGGGTCATCATCTTACCGTGGCGTGGCCCTGAGAAGATCACTTCTGGCTCCAGCCAGATGGTCTCGTCACTGCGCAGCGTTGCTGTCGCGGTCGTGTGGGGCAGGGTGACCAAGTTCTTACCCGTGTCGGCCTGGGACAAAGAAAAATGCCCGAGAGAAATGGAGACACAGATTTCTTGGTCTATTTCATAGAATCACAGAACCCCAGACTGGTCTGGGTTGGAAGGGACCTTAAAGCTCATCCAGTCCCAACCCCCCTGCCAGCAGCAGGGACACCTTCCACTAGACCAGGTTGCTCAAAGCCTCATCCAACCTGGCCGAGAACACTTCCAGGGAGGAGCAGCCACAGCTTCTCTGGCCAACCTGGGACACTGTCTCACCACCCTGTCACCCAGGAGATCTCTTGCAGACTGTATTAGGCACTGATGTGCAGCTGATCAGCTAAAGAACATAAAAATTTTCTGTGATGACCCAAACTTTTAAGTCTCACTCCCACATTAAAAGGTTTAATTTGAATTAACTGGGTCAGGCAGAGCAGCAGCAACGCTTGGCTGTAAGCCCTGCAGAGGGGTTGGGCAGACACCAGCATCTCACACAGAAGAATGGCCTGGATGGGAAAAGCCCTTTAAGCTCATGGAGTCCAACCATGAACCCAACACTGACCAGTCCCCTATGACTAACCCATGTCCCTCAGCACTGTGTCTACACGACTCTTCAATCCCTCCAGGGATGGGGACTCCACCACTGCCCTGGGCAACCCCTTCCAATGCCTCAGAACCCTTTCAGCAAAGAAATTCTTCCTCACATCCCATCTCCAAGCCCTGTGTGCAGCCGTGGTGGTGAGGAACCGCGCCGGTACCTTGTCGATGTTGAGGGGCAGCACGTATCTGCGGGCTTCGGGCTGCGGGGCCTTCTCCGCCTGGCGCTTCACTTCATCCCAGTTTGCTCGTAGGTTGGCTAAGTAGAGGTAATTGTAAACAAACTCGAACCTGCACAAAACCAGAGACAGAAACAAAGATGCCGTTTGCGAGTGAGGGGATTCAAATGCAGCTTTTTTTTCCCCCCTAAAATTCAAGGGAATGAGACAAGTCCCAGTTCAGCCCCTTGGCAGATGGAGCTGTGCGTGCGCAGCGCTTCCCCGCGAGGAAAACCCGGCCAGTGCTGGTTTTGGCCCCGAGCACCCGGTGGCAGCGGTCAGGACACGCTCAGCTCTGGGCATCCCGGCTACGCGGCCAACATGGGGTTGGGCATCACCAGTTTGGTGCCACCTCTCTCCGTTTCTGCAGAAAGCGGCGTTAGAACCTCCCCCGGATCCTGCTCGATGCCCCCCAGGAGCTAAAACAGCCCCAGCCCTTCAGCAGCCACTGGTGTTTATTGGAGAGAAAGGCAAATTAAGGATAAAAATCAACTTTTTCTTGGCAAATGAGTTTCAAAGGGGCTCCCTGCACCTCTGGGTCACTTCCACGCTGTGCAGCCAACACCTCCCCGGGTGTTCATGTTTCAGTGGGTTGGAGGGAGGCGCTGCGGGTGCCGGAGGTGATTCCCACGGGGAAGGGCCGCGGCGGCGCAGGGACCGGCGTGGCGGGTGCTGGGGCTCTGCTGACCCCCCAGCTGGTGCCGCAGGGACCCTCGGCCGCCTCCGGCTCGGCCCCGCCATCCTCACCCCTTCCAGGTGCAGAGGTCGACGATCAGAAATCCGTTCTCTTCGTAGGTGTTAATGTGGTGGAAGAGGTTGAAGGCCGAGGTGCGGTACTTGAGGTTGAGCAGCCGGCCTCTCTTCTTCTCTGCCACGTGGAGCCAGACCTGGAAAGCAGCAGCAGCAGCAGCAGCAGCTTGGTGTGGGAGAGGAGAAATGAGGGTGAAACCGATAGGATGGAGCTCCCGGTCCAGGGCTGGCTGCCCAGTCCAGCCCAGTCTGGTGCAACTGGGTGCTTACCCCCATGGTCTCGTTGGACTCGAAGCAGTCCATGTAGTTGGCTCCCCAAAGGCTCCAGGAGGAGAGGAACTTGAGGAGGTTGATTTTCACCGGTGTCTCCACAAACACGATGTAGTTGGAGGTCAGGCCAAAGCTGTTTGGAAACACGGGGAGTGAGTCTGGACAAAAACCCTGCAGTGGTGTCCTGGTGTGAGCTGGGCCAGAGCTGGTTCTGTTCAGCAGCTGGAACAGCGCTGGGGTTGGGTTCAGCTGGGATTTAGTAGGAGAAGAACATTGATAACACACTGATATTTGCAATTGTTGCTGGAAGTCGAGGGACTTTGGCCAAGGGCAGGGAGTGACAGAACAAGGGGTGATGGCTTGAAAGTGGCAGAGGGGAGATGGAGATGAGATGTGAGGAAGAAATTCTTTGGTGTGAGGGTGGTGAGACAGTGTCCCAGGTTGGCCAGAGAAGCTGTGGCTGCTCCTCCCTGGAAGTGTTGAAGGCCAGGCTGGATGAGGCTTTGAGCAACCTGGTCTAGTGGAAGGTGTCCCTGCTGCTGGCAGGGGGGTTGGGACTGGATGAGCTTTAAGGTCCCTCCCAACCCAGACCATCCTATGATGCTATGACACGCTGTGTGGCATGTGTGAGCACCACTCCTCTCCTCAGCAGACCTGGCTGTCAGTCTCCCAGCCCCATGAAACGTTACCTGTGAACGTAAGAAGGCTTAAACCTGTCGCTGCAGGGGAACTGCACCACCACCTCTGACTTGTTTATTGGGTCTTCCTTGTCTGGAACAGGATGGTTGAAGTTGGGTTAGGAAGGGTTTCACCCAGACTTAGTCAATATTTGTAGTGTTTACCCACCAAGTTTCTGCCTTTAACACAAAGGCAGGTAATGATTTAGAAATCACTTTGAAGTGTTTTAAATATAACATTGCTGTTACTTAAAAACCAAAGAGAATCTAAAGAAGATTTAAAAAAAAAAGTAACTATGACAAAATGTGTGATCTCATCTAGGTCATCCTGCTCTACCAGGAGGGTTGGACCACATGAACTTCAGAGGTCCCTTCCAACCCTGCCATTCTGTGATGAGACTCATTTGAAGGATCAATGAATGATCTATGGGACAAGATTCTCACGCTTCACTTGGAGGCAGGATGAACTGACCTGCCTGGAGCGGAGGAATCCGTATGATGTTATAAGCCAGCGCAAAGTTCTTCCCAAAGCAATTGCCGATGTTATAAACCGTCCCGTCGTTTTCAATATGGGGATGAGCTGTCGCCCCGTTGACGGACACGTATTTACAGAGATCCACCTGGAGAAGGAGATGTGGAAAATGAGGAGTTTTCTTGGCAGGAGATGGGGCGTCGCAGGTCAACGCAACCTTGTGCAGGTCAACGCGATGGCATCGCAGGTCAACGTGACCTCGCTTCAGACGTGGAAAGTTCTTCTCTAAGCCCAGGTCACCATCCTTTTTGTGAAAAGGAGCAAAACCAAGCAATTTGAGATGTCAGGTGAGCTGACACGGTTACAGGGAGGGGTTTGGGATCCTGGGATCCAAAAGGAAAGGCTCCACTGGGTGGACATTGGTAACACAGCAAAGAAAAACGTCAAAACACGGGTTCTGTGTCACCTGCAGGTGTGTGGGGTAAATGCTGCTTGGCTCGATATAAATGAAGGCAGCAGTAAAGCTCTGGTGGGAGCTCTCTGGTCACAGCCCCTTTTGGCCAAGCTGCAATGGAGCTCTGGTTTGCAAACCCCAGCCCAGGTGTGAGGATCCAGCCTGTGCACCTCTATGGTCTCTGAATTCAGTGTTCACTCAGAGGAGCAGCAGCAAGTTAATTTACAAGCTCGTTCCGACTCTGCTCTCATTAACCCTCACAGCTGGTTGCACTTTGGCATCACCTCCCTGCCCCTTTGGGCTCCCCCTGCCTGCCAACCCCCAGCCTCTGCCGTGTTGTAAGAGGCTGTTACCAAACATCTGCACTTCGGTTTTACTCCTCCACCTACTTCTCATAGAATAGTTTGGTTGGAGAAGACCATTACAATCACTTGGTCCAACCAGAAACCCAGCGTCACTGAGTTATTTAGAAGCAGAGCACAAAGACCCACCTGCTTAATTGTCTCTAACGTATCTGGGTTAATTTTGGTTATGAAGTTGGTCTCGGTACAGGCGTAGTAATCTTCGCCGACGGGGTAGATGTTAACGAGGGCGTTATCAGTGACCTCCACACCTTTGAAGTAGGAGAAAAACCTGAGCAGAGAGAACGGACGGGTCAGGGCTTTCATGGAAGCAGAAGCACCACAGGATGTTGCTGTAACATCTACAACCCCGAGGTACCTGGAGAAGATGTTCTTGCAGGGGTCTGGGTAGGCGTAGGTGCCAAATTCTGTTATCACGATCCTTTTCTCCGTCATCGCTCTCACGTAAGCGTCTGTCCTGACAAACCTGGGGCGGGTGAGAAGGACAGAGCCGTGAAATGAAATGTGTTTTTAGTTAGAAGGGGCTGAGCTATTGGCTTCAGGGGTTCAGTGAGTGCAGAAGGTTTGGACAAAGCTCTGTATGTCACAGAATCACAGACTGGTTTGGGTTGGAAGGGACCTTAAAGCTCATCCAGTCCCAACCCCCCTGCCAGCAGCAGGGACACCTTCCACTAGACCAGGTTGCTCAAAGCCTCATCCAGCCTGGCCTTCAACACTTCCAGGGAGGAGCAGCCACAGCTTCTCTCTGCAGCTTGACATCACATCTAGAGTGAGTTGGCTCCAGCAACCACCTCCCACCACGGCCCCAGGAAGGGATGGGTGGGGGAGAGCTGAACCTGATGGGAAATCAGCCGGCAACGTGCGCTGGCAGCACAGAGG